CTTTAATCTTTTGATTTTTATTAATCACTTATCAGTATTATGGTTCAATGAACCATTACAGAAGAGCATACAATTGGCTATATATGTAACTTTTCTATATTACCTGTTTAAAAAGTTTGCCTGAAGGTTCTTTATCAATTGCCATACCTAACATCCCTACTTGGATGTTTCACTTTAAACCTTTTGAACCTATAATCTGTATTAACATTACTGGATCATACTCAGATGTCCAGATCATCATCTCAACCTTAAGACTAATTTATCCTCAAGATAAACCCTCCAGAACCTTCTGTACTCATTTTTACAGCTGATCTAGGTATTACTATAGCAGAACTAACATTTGCAGTTAGGGCTAACTATTAAACTACTATGCTCTTATAAAGATTACTTAGACTCCAGCATCTACTTCACAGCATAACCCTGATACTTTCTTTTCATCTGCCTTTTTATCAAACTTCCAATTCAGATAGCTTATATAGGACTACAACCAGTCCATCAATATATCAGGTTAGCCTAATATTCTTTTTTTCTAGTTCATTATGACAGCCTAGTTGGTAGTACCTCCAAGACTTTCAACTTAGAGGTTCTTGTCTGTCTAGCTACTACAACTAGGTACTATGATCTTAGTATCTGTTTTTCCAAGCTAGTCTTTACAGTAGGGCCATTGAAGATCTAGCTACTTCTTTACTTAGATCTTCCCAAATAGACTTCTTGTTATCTAATTTCAATAGATTTACATGGCCACAAGGACTTATCTAGTGTTTGCACTACCTGATTTGTTGGTTTGCATTCCTTTGTGTAACATTATACTTATACAGATGCCCCATGACCTGCCAATCATACTGGTGCAACTATCATTACAAGTATCCTAACTTAATTATTAGTAATAGTTGTCATAATATAAATATTATATAGGTGATTATTCAAATTTTTACTGTCAATGGAATTTGAACATCCAATCTACCACTTGGGAGTTGATAACTTGACCACTTCACTAGGTTACAACACCCCTTACTAGGTATTTTTTTACTTAATTAATAATTATAATTTCATTAATAAAATAGTAATCTTTAGCAAAATTGATTAATTCTAGTCCATTTAATCAGAGAATTTTGAAAATTGCTTTGTATAAGTTTATATATAAAGGTTCTCAAATTTTCAGTTATAATATTTTGAAATCATGATCAAAAGAGCAAAATTAACTAATTTTGTGCAAGATTACTAAAAGTTTTATAAAAATTATAGTTTATTTATTAAGTAAAGTTACTTAACTGATAATTTTAATCTAAAAATAATTAACTTGTATTAGTAAATGCTGGTCTAAATCTGATGAATCTAACCTGAATCTTCTTATAAAAATTATAAAAATTCATATAATTTTTAAGATTCCAAATTAATGAATTAGAATGCAAAAATTAAAAATTTTTGTTATGCTTCAAAGTTATTAAAGCTTATTATAAATTATTTATAATTAAATTAATTGCTTAAAGAAGTATAGAATTAAGATATCGCAATTAAGTTAATTATTATGTACTATATATAACAACTAAAAGTTATTTTTTAAAATATTTTTTTACTATTATTATTATATAGTATTAAATTTAAAATTTGAGCAATTTTTTTTATATTACATATAAAATTTTAATTAGTAATAGCTTATTAATATATGTGATAATGAATTGCATATAATATTTATTAAGCTTTTATTCTTTTTTTTTAGTATTAAGGTAACTTCTTGGGTCTTTTGACTTTCTTTAATAATAATAAATATAATTTAGTAAACCACTACAGGAAAAATGTACAATGGCTACATGTATAAATTTTTTATATTGCTTATTTAAGAAGTTCACTTGAAAGTTCCTTATCAATTATTGTATCTAACACTTCTGCTTAAGTATTTCACTTTAAACCTTCTGAATCTGTAAACCTGTTAACTTCACTAGGTCATACCTAATGCCCAGATTATTATTTCAACTTTAAGACTATTTTATTCTTAAGATAAACCTACAAAGCCTTTTATACTTATTTTTACAACTAATCTAGATATCATTATGACAGAACCAACACTTGCAATCAGGACTTAACCATTAAACTACTATGTTCATATAGAGTTCACTTAGACCTTAGCATCTACTTTATAGCATAGCTCTAGTACTTTAGTATACCTTTGCCTTTTTATCTGCCTTTTTACTAAACTTTCAATCCAGATAGCTTATATAAGACTACAATCAGTCTATCAATATATCAGGTTAGCCTAATATTTTTTTTTTTAGTTTGTTTTGGCAGTCTAGTTAGTAGTACCTCTGAGACTTCCAACTTAGAAGTTCTTGCCTATCTGACTACTATGACTGAGTACTACAACTTTGGTATCTATTTCTCTAGGTTAGCCTTTACAATAGGGCTATTGAAGATTCAGCTATCTCTCTACTTAGGTTTTTCCAAATGGATTTCTTGTTACTCAATTTTAACAGATTTACATGATTACAAGGACTTATCTAGTATTTGCATTATCTGATTTGTCAGTTTGCATTTTTTTGTATAACTCCAATATTGCACAAATACTCATAATCTGCCAGTCATGCTAGTGCAACTATTATTACAGGTATTCTAACCTAATCATTAGTAACAGTTGCTATAATACAAATATTATATTGCTAATTATTCAAATTTTTACTATTGATAAAATTTGAATACCCAACCTACTACTTGAGAGGTTGACAACCTGACCACTTCACTAGGTTGCCACATCCTAGCTCTTATTCTTATTAATATTGAATTATTAAGTTAAATTAATAAATTAAAATTAAATTCTTATTAGTTGTAAATTAGGATTATTTACAGAATTAGATTTTTATTCTTATATATTTATCTGTTTACAAAACAATCAAAAAACTTCAAATTTTATTTAATACTTTAAGATATTATTTAAAACAAAAAAAGATGTCTTAAAGGCATTTTTATCTAAAACTTATCTCTATAATAATTTTTTATTTTTTTTAGAGTTAATTACTCAAAATGATATTTCAACTAGTGATACAACTTGAAATTAAAATAAATTAATTAGTTGATTAATTAACAACTAATTAATTGAACTTTTTAGACATCAACTATTTAGTTAATTAATTAATTAACTAATTAATTAGTTGCAACTAATTGATTAAAGAATTAATTAATTACAAAGAATTAATTAAAATTATTTATTTACTTAACAAATTAGTTACAATTATTCAATTAATTATTATTGTTTAGTTGCAATTAATTAATTAATTACTTGCAACAATCTAAAAAAATAATAATTAACTAATCAATTTAAAAAAATTTAATAATTTGTAATACTAATCTTAATTATTTTTATTATTAAAAAAAGGTTTTTTGTATATATATATTTTAATAATTAATAGAAAAATAATATTTAAAAAATAAAACCAACTTTTTAAATTCAGATTACTTAATTATAAACTTATTAGTAATATTAGATCAAGCATTAATTTTAAAAGAAATAATCTTAAAACCTTATTGAAATGATCAAGCAAAGGAATAGTTTTATAAATTATTTATAAAAACAGCTTATACAGATTTATATATAAACTTATTAAGTATATTTTTTATTATATTCTACAAAACTTATGACTCTCTACAATAAGTTAACCTTTAATAAACATAAACTATTTCAAGATATTCTTACTATTAATACTGTATTTATTTGCAGAATATAAGAGCAAAAAGTTACAAAATATATAAAAGAAAAAAAAAGATAATAATTATTCAAAAAATAAAGAAACAAAAACTTGATATAAGCTTAAATAAAATATTATTAATTAAGATGTATCCAAATTATTTATAAAAAAAAAATTAAAAAAAAACTTAGATTAATAAAATTTATTTATAATTTAGTTATAAGATAGAATAAAAAAATTTTTTTAATATTAATAAATAAAAAAAATAAATAAATCTCAGATATTAAAAGATCAGTTAAAACTTTATTTGAATATCAAAAATAAAAAATTTTATAAAAAATATATATAGAATAAATAAAAATTTATTAAAAAATATAATATAATTAAATTTTTAGTTTAAAAATTCATATAACAAAGTTTTTATAAAATTATAAATAAAAGCATTAATAAAATTCTAACTACTAAAATAAATATTATACAAAACAATCTAAAAAATACCAAAAAATATTTTTTATCATTTAAATTAATTCAAAATCTAAAGCAAATAGTGAATATTTATACTCAAAATTTTTTAGCAAAAAATTTAAATTACTTTTATTTATTTTACCTTTATAATTGCAATTCTCTAAAATATAAACAGAAGAAATCTAAAAATATTATAATTAACAAATGAAATCTGAGATCTTTATATTTTAAAAAAAATTAATAATTAATATTTTGTTAAAATAGACTGTAATTATAAACTTACTTGCTTATCTAAAACAAATAAATAAATCTTTTATTGGGTTTATAAAAACAAGCTCAAATTTGTGAAATATAAGACATAATTCATGCTGTCTTATAAATTTTAGAATCTGAACTCTATTTACTTGGTATTCTTCTACAAAGAGTACTAAAAAAATTGGTAATCATAACATAACTTGAATATATAGTTTTGCAAATACATGAATAACCTCATTTCAAGAAAAATAAATTATTTGATTCTATATCTAAATGTAAAAAAAAGAAAACTTCTCATTTAAACAAGACTGTGCATAGAATAAGAAGAAAAATCTATAGATTACAGAATAAGATCCATAGAAAACAATTAAATTCTTAACAGATGAATTTGACATCATCATGATTCATCTTTTGAAACATCAAATATGATTAACAGAAAATCCAAAAAAAATAAACAAGAAAATGACAACAAAATGTTATAATGGTCTCATTACAAATTCAAACAAAGATTGATCTCAAAATCTAAGGAAAAAGGTAACCAAATAATCTTTTAAGACAAAGCTTATACTGCAGTTGTGTAGTAATATGAAAAGTATCTGTGGATCAAAAATATACAAATGCAAAAATGGCAACATTGAGATAGACAGAAACGTAAACAGCACCCGAAGGATACTCCTTCGGGCTTTGCTTGATGAAATAGTAACTTTACTTAGTAATACTTAGTATTAATTATTATTGATGTGTTACAATCCAACCGATACACACTTATCGTCATCTAAGGCCAATGAAATTTTAAGAATCAACAACCAATCAGACCGATTTAGCTTTGCTGTTTGAGATGTGTTATTCATGTCATCTCCAATTTTTTTTTGCATTTATATACTGTATTACAGCTCTTTTTACGCTTATACATTTTTCTTTTAAGTATACTAGCAATCTGCTTTAACATTATTTCCTTAAGAGATGTATGTTCATCAGAACGTTTAGTATTCATGAATAGAAATAATTTTAATCAAGAGTGTTCGTTTTATTGAATTCCAGATTTTGAACGTATTAGCATAAAAGTCTTGCGAAAATAGATGAATACTATTAATTGTTTAATTCGATATAAAAATTCCTAAGGAATCGTTTTATTACTTTGATTAAACTAACCAGGAAAAGTGCCATGCCACTTTGATTTTTATTATCTGTTATGCACGCCATTGTAAGTACTGCTACTCCTGTAATTAGATATCATGTGTATGTAACACCAATGCCAAGAATTCTACGAATTTTACTAGTTCTAATTAATTCTAGTAGAAATAATAGTTTAAGTCACAATATTAGTTCTTATAATAGCTACTAATTCTACTTAGATGAATAAATTGTTATACGACTACATGTATCATCGTATATATTTAGCCGTTTGCCTCTTTCACACATAAGCCTCTTAAAAGTGTAGCCGCAATAAACCTTGTATTTTGCTTAGCATAAATCGGTGATTGTTATCAATCGTCTAATATATCCGTAGCCAAAATAAAACCATTATACCGAACTTATAAGAGGTGTAACAGTAAGTACGTAAAATTTATTACAATAATTTTATTGGCTAAACCAAAAATAATAATATATTATTAATTTTATTAATACATATGGCATGCATAAATAAAACCATGAATTCGATTTGATGCAACACAATTTAAATCATCATTCAGAAATTTTGACAGCTTTCATTGGTTGTTAGTTTGTCACTTTTTATCAGTCAAATCAGTTTCGTTAGTTTCGTTAGTTTAACGAAAGACGAAACTAGGATTCTCATTTCACCAGCAAGTAACTTACAAGCTTCGTTTAACAACTATAAGCGTAATCTAGTACTATACGTGAAAATATTTATTTATGCATATTATAAATTTAAAATTATATTAATGAGAAATTTACAAATATTTGAAACCATTTTATAAGATTACTTATAAATTTAGATTATAAATACATCATAGCTAAAAAAATTATTAACAGAATTATGGATTTAACTAGAGTTTTTTTTTTTGGATTTTAGAACAATTCAAATAATCATTTGTCATATTTTGCAAGTTCAAATCTATCCAAATAAATCTTTAGAATTTCCGAAATATTCGGTTCATTAGTTTTTTCTGAGATATTCATGCTTCCATCACCCTTCCGACCTTCTTCTTGAATGAAAAGATCGCTACCTTTTTCTTTCATGTGTTCAACCGGAAAATAACGAAGTATGTAATTAATCAATCCCCATGGTCTATATCTACCTCGCCCAACTAAAGCAAAGTAAAAACCTGATAATACACCTAGTAACGTAACACTAAATATTATGACATCCCATGGACCGATGTTTACAACATCAGTTGTTATAGCTATGTCGAATGAATCTAATTCAAAAAAAAATTTATTATTAGAGTGCATTAAAACAAACGGGAAATTTTAAGAAAGAGACAAACCTGGTCTAATTCTAACAGAGCTAGTCGCATTATTAGGTGTAGTCATTGTAAGATTGTCTCTAAACACGTCTATAATATTATATTTAATGTCACTGGTGACAGTTTGATTTCTACTGCGTGACTCAACTCGGGAGAAACTAATTGCACGATTAACATCGGTATCAAGTAATAAAAACTTGTTAACTTCAAAATTAGAATTTTGTCTTAATGGGTCGAAAACATTTAGAACAATTGGATCAGCAGGTTGAAATCGTCCGGGAGTGTCAAATATGCGGGTATAATTAAATCGCATGTCATCCGCCTGGGGATTTGGAGATGGATTTTTAATAACTTCAGAGTTATCTGGTGCTTTTATGATCTATTATCCACGAAATTGAAATAGTTAATATGATTACCTTAATATTTTATTGAAATAGATTTAATGACATACCCAGCATTTATAAACAGTATTAGTCAAACCTTTTAATTCCACAGTTTCATTGTTGTAAGTGCTAAGATAATCAGCAGGAGAGTCTCCCGTAGCTTTTACTACACCATAAAGTTCTAAAGTAAATCTATAAGCCACTTGTCTTGTAATACAAAATGTTAACGCTGGAGGAACCAATGCAGTCTTTGTTTCAACCGAAAACGACTGTGTTACTACGTTCACCCTTTTAATTAGAGAGTATAAATTATTACTGAAGACCGCCAAAATGGCGAGAATTGCCAGACCTTGAATTAATTTTATAAATAATGCTCTACTATCCATTGATTTTCAGAAGAAAAAGTCCAACATTAAAAAAAAGTAGTGTTGCTTAAATAATAATTTCCTGTAAGTAATTTAATCGTGAGACCATGGTATTCTGGCACAATCTTGTGAACAAAACAAATCAAAACAAACGTCTATTTTTAAGCTTGCCTTCTGTACGTACAATCCATTAAAATGCTAGCATTATTTTTCCAATGTAAAATAATGATACCTAAATCGACAGTGGACCCAATCACAGTTTCTGAATTTTATTGCATGTGATTCAATGGGAAATTTGTGTTGTACTAAATAGATGTTATTAAAACAAATCTGCCTATGATAAGTACCAATAAATAACTAATAAAAGGTGTCACTCTGCGCATTAGCATAATTTTTGCCGACAATCTAAATTTTTCAATTCTTGGCTGAAATTTGATTTCAATTTCAAGATAGACATTTTTAGAAGGAAATTTCTTTTTGTACATGGGTGTGCAATATGAAAATCAACCGATATCTCTATAAAACCACCTTTTAGCTTTTAACAAAAAAGAATTCTTATACAATTTTGGTATAAACTATATCTCGCCCACCCTTACCCCTAACTATAAGTAGGGATTTAATTTTTCGTTTTCAAAATTGCTTTGATTGTCATGTTACACGAATTTGTAATTCAATAAATTGATATAAACACTACGTATAAACTGACACTAATAAATTTCTTAATTTTTCTAGAATATTTTTTGAGTAATTGTCTTAAGCGTAGCATTGCTTTGATCGAACGTATCCGATGTTAACTTTGTAACTTAATTTCAGCCACAATCTTTTAATTTTTATTATCGTTATGTGTACGTACGTTATTTCCTATATTTAGAATTTTAGAATTTCGAATTAATTATGTACTTAATTGCACTTTCCTATTTAATGATTTATTTACAACATGACCTTATATGAGTTACTGTATGTATGTAACGCAGATAATTTCTAGATTAAATGTGACGGTGGGATAACAGTCAACTTAGGCGGGATATAGTTCAAATTTTCAGGGTTATATCAGTGTAGAAAATCTGAACCCAGAAGTATATGAATCCTGTGCACAGTGTACAGATTAAAAATTTTGAGCACTATGATTTTGTTATTTTATATAATTAAATTTATATGAATAAATTTGAAATATATACAATAAATTGCGTGAACAATGTGCTTGATATGCACGTCTACTTAGATTATGTAGCTTAAATGTTTGTGAATTACGTGCACATTTCTCATAGGCAGAAGTTCGTCTGATTGGCTAGAATTCAATTTAATTTCACATTATTTACACAGTTTAGAGTAATTTTTAAAAAAACGAAAACCAACCATAATAAACCACAGTCAGGCACCCTAAGTGCATAAATGCACGTCTTCTCTTGGGCCCAACTAATCTTACACCTATAGATTTTTACCTCTCTAAGTGCACGTTTGTCTAAATTTTTATATATGGTCCCGTCGCATTGCATTTAGAGAGGTCTGACTGTACATTGAAGGTTCATTAGAGCTATAGGACTCCATAGTCAAAAATAAGGCCTAATTCTCGTCCGCTTAAAAAAATTAGCTTAGTAATAAGTGAGGTATTAAGTCAACGATGTTTGACAAAACTATATGCGGTACCATATAAAAATTAATTATTAAGGATTTTTTTGAATTTGTGATCAGGATATTGATCGGGATTATTTATCACTTTTTATAGATGCTTTAATAGTAAAAGATGACTTGCATGTTTTAGATGTCTGATTCGAATCTCAATTATTTCTATTCTTAAACATGTTTATAACAAAGTTTGTAATTTTTTGAAAATTTTTTAACATTAATATTTAAATTTCAAATTGAGTCTACAAAAATTCCGCTTCATATTGTGAACGATTCAAAGAAGATGTCTTCATTATAGGTAAAAATTTTAATACTTGAACATAAAATTTTTAATATAACTTCATCATAAACATGTTTAAGAATAGAATTATGCTAAATTAAACGTAAAGTAAAGCGATTTTCTCTAGACATCTAAAAACGTGCAAGTCATCTTTTACTATTAAAGCATATATAAAAAGTGATAAATAATTCCGATCACTATCCTGATAATTGAATTCAAAAAAATTCTTAATAATTGATTTTTAGGATCCGGTTCATTTCACCGAAAATAAATTCACTGACAGTACGACAATCAATTCACATTTCACTGACAACACGATTTACTGACAGTACGTTTCACCAACAAAGTTTTTTTATAAATTACACTAACTTTAACTCTAATCCTAATCTAACCTTACTGGCAATGACCAGAATTACTTTGTCGGTGAAATGACTGTCGGCGAATCGTACTGTCGTTGAAATGAACTTGTCGATGAATCGTACTGTTAATGAATTGATTGTCGATGAAATGAATGGATATGGTACCGCATGTAGTTTTGTCAACCATAGTTGAACGAATACCCCAATGCAACATATATCAAGAAATGCGAGCTATATTTTATATATATCAATATATGGGGACCCCCACAGCAAAAAGAGGCATTGGGTCATTTTAAGTTTCACTATTTAAATAACTATATCTCATGATCTAGTGATCAGAATTAAATGATTTTTATATTATTTAATTCTTCTCAATAAGGTAAATTTAATAATATAAAATCATTTAATTCTAATTGCTAGATTATGAGATATACTTCTCTAAATAGTGAAATTTAAAATGGCCCAATGCCTCTTTTTGCTGTGGGGGTTCCCATATAGTATCGGTTGTTTTCATATGTAAATTTACATGAATTCGTACTAATTTTAGGGGGTTTTTTTTTATCTGACTATCAGACAGTATCCACTTTCATAGACCTAGTGTCATCATAAACAGAGAGCTCAAAAGAACGAATATTCTTGTTCGATAAACTCATTCCTTAAAATCTTAAAAAGTTAAAAATTTTTTGTAACATCTGCTTTATAAATTTGTGGTTTGTAAGGGCATTATTATAAGTGTAATCCTATCTTCTATAAGAATAACGAAGCTGTTATTAGATTACTATTAATATTGTAATATATTTATTAAATATTTTCATACCAATGATTTGTACGCTGAACGTTTTAGTTTTTTTGTTGCATCGATAGCTTTAAAAACAAAGGAGGCAGATTATATGCGTATAAATCATTTTACATGATGACGGCTTATTAAGTGAATAATATTGGAATCTAAGGATTCTGATTGTTTGGTAGGGGATCAAATGTTTGATACTGATAGATTTCGAACAAAAGAAAATAACAATAAAGAGATTGTGTGTCTTCAATTATGCAAAAAGAGGTAAAAAAAACTTCCTGCCAGTAATCGGGTTACAACATGTGATCACTTTATGCACTATTATAAAATACTCGGGTTAAAATAACATAAATTTCACTAGTGTAAGTAGTTTTTTAAAAAATCTAAACTGCATATAATATAAATGAAAAACGTGTATGCATTTTCAATTTTTCTAGCTTGCAATAGACCTCTGCCATACAGAATTTTGTAATTTTGATCCAAACCATACTAAATTGAATATTCTAAACCCTAATTTTAACCTAAATCCTAATTCTGCCAAAATCATTTCTGAATCAGCAATCTGGATACGTATCATACTTCTTCGAAATAACGCGTAGGGTGTAACTTGAACTTTAGATTGAGCTTAATTCGGACATCACTCAAAAGCACAGTACAATTGTAGTTATTAATCACTATACGTATAAAATTAATTTTTCCGTTATTTATTGTAAAGAATTTTACGTATAGGTTCTAATATGAGTAAATAAATAAAACAATCTTGATTTTTTTATTACATAAACTTTACGATTTCGAATACTAATACATAGTATCATTTATTTATCGGTTATACTAAATTCATTTGCTAAATATCATCTTTAACACCCAAATAAATTGGGGGGTTTTTTTTTATAAACCTTTATTAAAAATAATCTTCGTTATACAAAATAAAGATATAAATTTCATTTTAATTACATATAAGATTCTACTATTCTATATTATACTACTTTACTCAATCTTCTGTACATTATTGGTTTGGAACAACTTTGCTGCCGCGAAACTTATATAAGTAACTCGATATCGAATTTTTTTTTAAAAAATTTTTTTCGATATTATTCATAAAATAACCTAAAGAAAATAAAATAAAAATGAATAATTGCGTCATCGAAAAATTGAACAAGAAAAGAGCTTCCAGTTGCTCAATTTTATGTATCACGTTTTACCACCAATGATTATTACCAGATCTTGCTCACCCGACCATATTAAGGAGTAATTACCTTAACCAGTCAGTCCCGCGAGCACTGATCAAAATAATAAAACAGAGTTATCTCTAAACTATAGAATGAAGAAATGAACGTTCGCAACAGGCGCCCACTTTAGAATCCTAACAGCAGCTTCACAAGTTGCGGCCCGATGAGCTTTCAAATTTCTTCAACCTATAGCTAGAGTCGCAAAACGAATACATACAATTTAGCAACTATTCAGTACAATATATTACCTTTATACTTATGTTGTTCAGTCTTCTTTAGTACTTCTTAGTGACGTAAAACTACCCAATATCAAGGCGAAAATGTAAAGTATAAAAAATACAAAAACAAATGTAAAACAAAAAATGGTTTATATATACACTATACACGTGCAAAAATGATGTAATTAGTGTAACAAAAACAATCGATATTCACGTGATTTTGACGTTGTAATTAAAATTAAGGTTAGGGTTAGGGTTAACTTGGTATTAGTATGAGAAAAGAGGTATATGTAACATTGCCTTCCCGATATTTTTGATTAGTGCCCCAAGACAGATTTAGACTCTGTTTTCCGTCTTTTTACGTTTTTTTTAACAATTCAGAATTGATTTACATAAAACAGTCACGTGGGTACATGTCTTACCCAGCAATTTTCACTTTCACGTGACAGTGTTTAAAAATCTTTAAATTCGGTTAAGTTAGGGTTAGCGTTTATAATATGGCTAGGTTTTAAAAAAAGTAATAGTAAAACCACTCGAGGAATTTTTTTTGTTAGAGCGCAATAGGTGGTTTCTTATGCAAGTTTTTGAGAAATAAGCGATTTTTGAAAAATAAACGGTTTGTTTTGATCTTCCTGATCGTGTAACGTTATATTAAACTATTGGATTATCATCACGTAAAAGTGAAAATTTGACGGTGATACTGGGGTAGTTGCTTTAGACGACCCCCTAATAGGGAGATTATATGTAAATCAAATGAGTGCATAAACCAATGCCAAGAATTATACTAATTCTACTAGCGCTAGTTCTAATTAATTCTAGTAGAAATAATAGGTTAAGTCACAATATTAGTTCTTATAATAGCTACTAATTCTACTTAGATGAATAAACTGTTATATGACTACATGTATCTTCATATATATTTAACCATTTGCCTCTTTCACACATAAGCCTCTTAAAAGTGTAGCCGCAATAAACCTTGTATATTTTGCTTAGCATAAATCAGTGATTGTCTACTATATCCGTAGCTAAAGTAAAACCGTTATACCGAGGTAGTTCCAGGTGTAACAGTACGTACGTAAAATTTATTACAATAATTTTATTGGCTAAACCAAAAATAATAATAGATTATTAATTTTATTGATACATATGGCATACATAAATGAAAAACTATGAATTCGATCTGATGCAACACAATTTAAATCATTTCATTATTGTCATTTTTTATCAGTCAAATCAGATTCGTTAACTTTCATCTGTTTCGTCAGTTTCATAATTCAAGAATTTGATTAACGAAAGAAGAAACTAGGATTCGCATTTCACCAGCAAATAACTTACAAGCTTCGTTTTAACAACTATAAGCGTAACTAGTGCTATACGTGAAAATATTTATTTATGCATATTATAAATTTAAAATTATATTAATGAGAAATTTACAAATATTTGAAACCATTTTATAAGATTATTTGTAAATTTAAATTATTTCAAGTTATATAGTTTTTATAAATACGTCAAAGCTAAAAAATTATTAATAGAATTATTAAAATATGGATTTAACTATGAGTTTTTTTTTTGAATTTTAGAACAATTCAAATAATCATTCGTCATATTTTGCAAGTTCAAATTTATCCAAATAAACCTTCAGAATTTCAGAAATACTCGGTTCTTTAGTTTTTTCTGAGATATTCATGTTTCCATCATCCTTAAAACCTTCTTCTTGAATGGAAAGTTCGCTACCTTTTTCTTTCATGTGTTCAACCGGAAAATAACGAAGTATGGAACTAATCCATCCCCATGGTTTATATTTACCTCGCCCAACTAAAGCATAGTAATTACCTAATAATACACTCATTAATGTAAAACTATTTACTATGACCTCCCATGGACCAATGGTTACCACATCAGCTGTTATTTCTATGTTGAACGAATCTAATTCAAAAAAACTTATTATTAGAGCGCACTAAAAACAAACGGGAAATTTTAAGAAAGAGACAAACCTGGTCTAATTCTAATAGAGCTAGTCGCATTATTAGGTGTAGTCAGTGTAAGATTGTCTCTAAACACTTCTATAATATTATATTTGACGTCACTGGTGACAGTTTTATTTAAACTGCGTGACTCAACTCGTGAGAAACTAATTGCACGATTAACATCGGTATCAAGTAATAAAAACTTGTTAACTTCATCAAAAATATTACTTTGTTTTAATGGGTCGAAAACATTTAAGACAATTGGAGCAGCAGGTTGAAATTGTCCAGGATTGTCAAATATGCGGGTATAATTAAATCGCATGTCATCCACTGGGGATTTGTAGGTTGATATTTAATAACTTCGGGGTTACCTGGTACTTTTATGATCTATTATCCACGAAATTGAAATAGTTAATAGGAGAACCTTAATATTTTATTGAAATAGATTTAATGACATACCCAGCATTTATAAACAATATCAGTCAAAGCTTTTAATTCCTCAGTTTCATTGTTGTAAGTGCTAATATAACCATTAGGAGAGTCTCCCGTAGCTTTTACTTCACCATAAAGTTCTAAAGTAAAATTATAAACCACTTGTCTTGAAATACAAAACGTTAATGCTGGAGGAACCAATGCAGTCTTTTTTTCAACCGAAAACGACTGTGTTACTACGTTCACCCTTTGAATTAGAGAGTATAAATTACCACCGAAGAATGCCAAAAAGGCGAGAATTGTCAGACCGTGAATTAATTTATATAATGCTTTACTATCCATTGATTTCCAGAAAAAAAAGTCAACATTGAAAAAAAGTAGTGTTGCTTAAATAATAATTTCCTGTAAGTAATTTGGTTGTGGGACTCTGGTAAAATCAAAACAAACGTCTATTTTTAAGCTTGCCTTCCGTACGTATAATCTATTAAAATTCTAACATTATTTTTTCAATGTAAGATAACGATACTATGACATCTAAAAAGTACCCGATCCTCTTGCCTATGAGGACGGTCATCGAATCCAAAAATGACAGATGTGCGTCGAGTCGTTATCATTGACGATACGAATATTTCAAGTATTCATAATTACGGGCAATATGTGTACGATCTGTCGATCACACGTGTAATCCTTAAGGATGGCTCCGAAAGTAGGTACTTTCGGTACCTACCGAAATCGAAAGTCTACCGAAAGTACTTTCGAACAGGGTTTGGTTTACCGAAATGTTCGAAAGTCGAAAGTCTTACCGAAAGTCGAAAGTCTTACCGAAGGTCGAAGTCTTACCGAAGGTCGAAAATTTTACCGAAAACCGAAAGCTTTACCGAAAGTTGAAAGTCTTACCGAAAGTCGAAAGTCTTACCGAAAACCGAAAGCTTTACCGAAAGTCGAAAGTCTTACCGAAAGTCGAAAGTCTTACCGAAGGTCAAAGTCTTACCGAAAGTCGAAAGTCTTACCGAATATTGAAAGTCTTACCGAATGTCGAAAGTCTTACCGAAAGTCGAAAGTCAGAGTTCGACAAAGGCCAATCATATCTTGAAACAGATACTTTTTTTGATTTTAAAAAAGTCACGTGACTGCTGCACTTAAAATCGACCAATGGAATTTCTAAATATTCCATTGGTCGATTTTAAGTACATCAGTCACGTGACTTTTTTAAAATCAAAAAAAGTATCTGTTTCAAGATATGATTGGCCTTTGTCGAACTCTACTTTTGGAAGGACTTTCGGTATGACTTTCGACTTTCGGTATGACTTTCGACTTTCGGTAAGGCTTTCGACTTTCGGTAAGACTTTGACCTTCGGTAAGACTTTCGACCTTCGGTAAGACTTTCGATTTTCGGTAAGACTTTCGACTTTCGGTAAGACTTTCGACTTTCAGTAGGGTTTTGACTTTCGGTAAGACTTTCAACTTTCAGTAAGACTTTCAGCATGACTTACGATTTCGGCATGACTTTCGGCACACCAAATACTTTCGGTGCCATTCTTAGCATCGTATGATAAATATCACGTGTTGATTAGCCAATAAATTTTTATAAAATTAAAAGAAACGAAATTTGATTAAAATTTTAAAGTTCAAAATAAATGCTGCTAAATATAACTGTTAGATAAGCAAGCATGTATTTATTAATTTAAATCAAGTTTATTAATGTTTTAATAGTATTTGTTTTTATTATTTATTAAAACCTCAATAATCTATATACGTTTAATTTTACATGTCTAATTCTACGTCTAACTCTACACTTAATCAATATTTCTAATTCATTACACTATACCAAATTACATTATACAACTATTATTCCACTAAGAAATCTTTTCGATATTAATACAAATTGTATATATAACCTTCCATCATATTCTAAAAGCTCCTATAATGATGATATTAATAAACAGTATAGTTAATTAATATTACTCATATACTTTCAATTTCTAAAAAATTTCTATGCAACATGCATAATAAAAAAAAACATAAGCTGATTTTTTTTCTCTTATACTATCGTTATTAATCGTTATTTTGAGTTTTTTTCCCCTTTTTCTTGTTTAAAATGAGATTTTGTCGACGTAGTGATTGTTAATTACTTATAACTTCGGCAAATGAAGTGTAATATAAAAGTTGGAGGATTCAGAAGGATTCAGCGAATATGTTGTAGGGCAAAACTTTAAGTTTACTTGGTATATTTTATCCCCTTAACCAAGGAGTTAAAATACCCGAGCTTCCGAAAAAAGTATTGTAAAATGTATAGAAAAATTTTTATAAATTGGATCATCTGTGTAAAATAGATGGTCCTACCTCGAGAATACAACGTGAAGATACGGATATATAATGACTTGCAAGTACCTTAACTTTAGTTAAGTATTTTAGCACATGACAGGTTTGAGATTTATAATAGATACGTACAAATCACACGAATCACCTAGACGGCTCGCGTGAAGATGCCCGTAGATAATTCAATGATCCAGAAAATTGCATGTGAATAGTTCTATATCGCATCATAGAATTCGTTCTACCATATGCTCGTTTTCATATTGAGTTCATTCGATTCTCGTTAGATAAGAACAGTATCAATCGTAAAAGTTCATAGTATTATAGGTAGAGATGAGCATGTGCATGATCCCACGCGTGACTTGCAGGATTTTTTTTGAGCTTGCACGTAACTGTTAATATGATCCAAAAATAAAATTTTCTGGCCGGCATTATCATATAATCTGGCTAGCATTGATATAATATCTGACCTGCATTAACATATTTAGCTAATTTCTAATTAGAATTTATTTATTTATTGTTTTTTTACTATGATCAGCTTCATAAATAAATTTGTTATTTCATGGTAATTATGATACGTCACATCTATATTTTATAGTAATATCTGTATTTTATGATACGTCATGTCTATATTTTATGAATAGCATGATTGCGCGAACAGGTTTTTTTTTGAAATTGTCATAGTTGCGCAAACGACTTTACTGAGGTGGTGGGTTTTTTTAAATTGTTATGATTGCGCAAATGACTTTACTGAGGCGAGATGTTTTAAAATTGTAGTTGTATGACTTTCAATATTTTAACACTTCAAAAAAAAAAATAATAAAACATTTAAAAAACTAGATTGTTGTTTTATTAATTAATTTACTTAAATTACATTATATTTTCAATATTGATTAATTGTAATATGATTAGCATAATAATTATTAATGATCGTAGTACCTTGCTCACTATTCAACATATTTTGCAGACTAGATTGTGATGCCCATAACAGCCTTTTTTGACCAAGAGTTGGATTTTTTTTAGTAGCATTGATATGAGAAGGTAAATTTGGTTTTGTGTTATTTTTTAAGAGACTTCGAAACTCAGAATATATTGAGCTTTTTGGTAGGACATAAGAGCCAGAAGAGTTATAATCATCAGGTTTCTAAAAAATAAATATATATTTAATATGTAAATATATGAAATTTAATTTAAAATAATTGAAAACTTTATCAGATCTGGGGGTATAGTGACCTAGTGAAGTGGATAGGTTGTCAATCCCCAAGTGGCAGGTCTAGAATTCAAATCCCAGTGACAGTGAAAATTTGCAATTTTTTCTGTGTTATGACTAACTGTCTTCCATGATTGGTTGGGATAAGATACCTGTAACCCATATTATATCAGCATGACTGGAAGGTCTAGGCACTCATACAATGTTATATGAGGGAACACAAACTGATACTAGGTGGTATGAATCCAAGATAAGTCATTAGGTCATATAAATTATAGGAACCAGGTAAGAAGACAGAAGCCTACTTAGAAGACCCAAGTAGAAAGGTAACCCAAACCTTCAACAGTGTTACTGTAAAGACTAAACTTATGAAACAGAATTAGAACTTGTGAAATTAGACAAATTTGCTAGTCTTTAAGGAGGAACTGAATGAACCAACTAGGTTGTTGGAATTTTTAAGTTTCAGAAAAAAAGAGTACATGTTAGCAAACATGTAAACCAGAAGTATGATCTTGCTCTACCTTTTTGAGCTATCTAGATGACAGCTTGATAGAACTTAAATTGAATACCAAAGTAGTAAGGATATGTTGTAAAGTCAATACTAGGATTGGGATGAACTCTACAAGAGCATAGTGGTTTAATGGTATGTCCTGATCATCAGTGTTGGTCTCGATCATAGTGATACCAGGTCAGTTGTAAGAATAGAATAGTCTTTATTAGTAACTGTTTCAATACTATAACAATATTTAATATTATTCTGCTACCTATTTAGAGTTTTTATCCACTTTTGTGTAGTCTTATAAGTATTTTCTGGAATACAAGATTTAATTATTTTATTAATTTTCTTATTAGTAGGTAAGCAATCATCATGTACTTTGGTATTTGATTTATTTTTTTCTAATTAAAATTAAATTATTTTTATTATTTTAAATAATATAAAAATTTTGCTTTATATATTTAATTATAACATACCATCAAGGTAACTCAGATCAGTGTTAACAGATATAACAAACTTGGATCAGTGCTAACAGGTACAACAAACTTGAACTAGCATTAACAGATGCAACTGGCTTGGATCAGCATTTGTAGATATCAAAAGACTTGAAACAGTATTGGTAGATACTACAGACTTAAGACAGCATTAGTAGGTACTACAGACTTGAATTAACATTTTTAGGCACAATAGACTTGAAGTTTTGTCAGCTTCAAAAAACCCTCTTTGTAATATATATTTGGGCATACATAATTCAGATTTATAATTAAAGAGGCACAAGCCTCAAAATTTAAAATATATACTTTTAGAGGCATAGTGAAAGTATTAAAAGTGCTAAAAAAAATTGTTAAGTGAAAATCTATTTATATCATTATTTCAAAGTCTAATGTGTTACACAATATGTATAAAATTTTAAATTGCTAATTATTATAAAAAAAAATCTATTATTACATGCTATATAGCAATAACTATTATATTATGTGCTTAAAATCTACTGGCTCTTTCACTCACTAGAAAAGTGTACAAGTACATAATCTGCTGCAAAGCAGCAGATCATGTGCTTGCATACTTTTCTAGTAAGTGAAAGAGCCAGTAGATTTTAAGCATATAATACTTTATATATTTTATGTTCTCTTCCTAATTGTACAGTAACCTAGCTGTATTGGCTGAGATCACTGACCAATCAGAATTATCCATAAAATACTACAGTTATTGCATGCTTCATATGCAATAATTATTTAAAATTTAGTAATTAATTATAGTTATTTTAATTATGTAGTATTAAGAAACATTTGCCAAATTTGGTCAAACATTAATTATTAATCAAGTTGGATATTATCTTGAATTTCAAAAATATCTAAAAATTTTTTTAACAGGTGTTGTAAGTATTTATAATATTTCAGACTAGAATTTTGATGATGCTAGAAAAACATTTAGAATTTCTAATATTCAATATGTTCATAAAATTTCTGGCAATATTCAATCTATTAAAAAATATCTGTTCTTAGATATATCAGTTCAAAAAACTTATCAATTATATCATATATGAATTTGGTTTAACTATTTTTAATATTGAATACACATTAGTCAATTTTAAAAATTAATTATACAAAAAAATCTTTAATAAAATAAATTTTCTATTAATACATTTATACTAAAGTAAGTAAATAATAATATTTAAAATTTTTATTGTTTTTAATTAAAAATTCTTTACAATTTTAGCATATACAGTTAAGCTTATAATACTCTATATTCATATATTGATCTAATTAGTAATATTTATTGTAATAGAGGTTCTATACTTAAAAAATATAAAAAGATATAAAAAAATTAATATAGTTTGTTCTTATTATAACAAACTTCATTATAGTAAATACTTCATTATGATAAAATAATTTATAATAAGAATAGACTATACATACAAGCAAGTTTTGATATAAGAAAATTATAAAGTTTAGCTAAAATTTTCTTATTTCTTATATCAAAGTATTTATTAAATATTTCTTATATTAAATTACTTATATTTTTAATTTTAAATCAATAATATATTAACTATTTAAAAGTTTATCAGATG